AGGTTGAAGAGATAGTAGGTTTTTGACTTTTTGGGTTTACATTTGTTTTTCATTTAACTAATTTGTTAGGTCCATTAACATTCACGAGCTTAAAAGGGAATTTGTTTGGCCCACTAACAAAACTAACTAATTATATTAGTTAAACTACAGGTCCATAAATAATAATGCCTTATATAAATACGGATCCGGGTATCCGGTTGTCATTATTTTAACTATCCGGATCCGACAGATCAGAATCCGCACCCGACAGATCCGTAAATTTACTATCCAGATCCGGATCCGCCCACTCCGGATATCATGTTTTTAGGGGCGGATCGGAGCGGATCCTGGATCCCAAATAATAGTTCCCAGGCCTAACTGACACAGGCAACGACGCATAGATCGACGAATTAAGGTTGGATTCGCTATGTATTGTAAGTCATGTTACTCAACTTACGGAGGCAACAACACAAAAGATTGGTAACACTATGTCCGAGATTAGGTTTACCCGATTAGAGCTCCTAACCTCTTGGATCAGCGTTTGGTGATCAATCCAAACACATGCATTAAGTAAAAGATGTCCCAAAAGTATCTAAGTATGAACGAAAATCAGATCTATAAACCTAATATGATTTGAAGCATGAATCCCCTTTGAATCACCCCATAAAACCCAACAAAGAAAACTACTCGCTCATGATGCAAAGAAACGATCTGGAGATGAAGTAGAAAAGCATAATAAACGAATCCATAAAACAAAGGGGGTTTAAAGAAGACTTCTCTAGTGTCACAGAAGATAACTTGTCTCCCAAAAGTCTTGAAATAAAGAGTTGAAGAGAAAACTATGAAGAACAAAAGAGAGAGCCTCAAAGGACGACTTCTTCGATGGCAAGAGAGCTTTGGAGAGGTGGAGTTAGGGTGAAGAGGCCGTACAGTTTCATCACTTTGTCTCGGTATTTATAGGCTTCGATTAGGTCAAGGGGCAAAATCTTCATTTTCCACTAATTCCTGGACCGGGTGGGACGTGTGAAGGACAGCCCAAACACGGGCTTCATGTCCGGTGGCGCTCGGTGGCTCTGGAATGGTCGCGAGGCTGTTTGGCCGGTCAAGACATGTCTTCACTCCTCTGGGTATAACTTCCGAATGAATCAATGGTTTGCTTTGGTTCTACTTTGAGGCGAATGTTGACTCTTCTAGCTTTCCATAGCCACCGAGATCTCTGGATTTGGTAATTGGAAAGACCTCGAACGGATGCCATACTTCTGAAGTATAGAAACTGCCTTGAAACAGGATTTGATCGACTTTTCCTCCTTTTTGCTTGAAAACTCATTATTCTTCCTTGAAGCATAAATACTTGAAAATAGCCTTGAAGTCTCCAATATCTCTTGTTTTTTCCATGAAAAACCTAATTAAAACGTAGTAAAAGTTGGTTAAAATACGATGTTATCAAGTCTCCGTGTCATTCTGCCTCACTACATAACCGTTGGAGGCCTAGGAAACATGGGTACAAAGTAGGAGCCCTCTCACGGAACCGACGCTGCTCGTTGAAAATGGGAGAGGCAAAATCGAGGTGAGTTAGATTTGTCAGCGATGGAGTCGTATGTTGGGAGAAATTTGGAGGGCGTGTTTTGTTTTTTTACATGTAAATAGAACATATTATAATTGGTAAACTAAGACCTCGCATGTTTAGACATCGCCTATAAATTGTGGAAGTCCCTTTGGTCCATTGATTTTACCAAAGGTTTATTAATACTTTTACATCAAATATAGGGTTTGATTTCCATAGAGCATATATATTTCTTGCAGACTAATAGTGTAAAACTTATTAGGTTCAAAGTAACGCATACAAAACCATTCGTCGTGGTCTCATGTGTTATGGAGATGTCGTACATGCAGAACCGTCTGTTGTAGATCCGAGTGTTGCGAGGAGAGCTACACCGTTGAATCATTGTTTGTGTGAGTTGTTCATCACAATTGCATATTATGCAGGTAATTGGATATCATCATAATAATATTAAATCTAATATCTCAAGTGATGATGTAATAGGCGACAAGAAGAAGAAAACATCACCTACATATTAAGAAGTGTTATTTATTTTTATTGCCTATATTAGGAACACCAAAAATTAACATAATCGCAATTAGTCTTGGACAACTTAACTTAATCGGAAGTACCAATCCGGAAAAGAACATAACCAAATTTGAAGCAAAATTGAAAAAATATCCTAATATATCCTAAACTCCATAACCGAAAGAATCGAAACCAAACAGATATTGAACCAAAATATTTCCGATTATATTTATTCCCTAACTAAACATATTCACGAAAACCCTCTGACCAAAACATGATTAAAAATCTATAATCCATAAATTGAAAGAGTATTTTCGAAACGGAGATTTTAAGATTATAGGAAGTCAACTATAGCTTTAAGATATTGGTTAGGCATGGGCATATGGGTAACCCGTTCGGGTTCGGATAAAACCCGTTCGGGTTCGGGTTGAATGAGTAATGAATTTATGGTCCATTCGGGTATTTCTAAATATTCGGTTCCGGTCAGGTTTGGGTATCGTCGGGTTCGGGTCGGTTTGGGTAATAAGCATGAGAACCGAAAAAAACCAGAAAATTTTGGATCCCCCTTGGGTTTGGGTCTAAATGGGTAAAATTACTCATAAACCCGAAATATGATTCCAATACCCGAAGTTTTAAATCATTGTACATACTCAAATGATCAAATAAGAGAACAGAACATCAAACATGACATTTAAAGACTAAATCCAATCCAAAATCACAAAGATGACTACTTAAATCTTAAGTGTTAAGAGTAAATCTAATCCAAAATCACATGACATCGGAATGTTTGGTGACGGTAAGGTCTCCGAGAGTGTCGCGACGAGGGTTTCTAGTTTCGATAATGAGACTGAAAAGGGGATTTTAAATAGAGATTATCGAGGGAATAGGGATTCTAGAAGGAAATTAGAAAACTCAATGGTCAAAACTCAAAAGGTAGGGCTATATGACTATATATCTATATACATATATGAACACATGTCTAAAAACTTCGGGTTTATGGGTACCCTAAATGGGTAACGGGTATTCCCCGACCCGAACCGATACCCACGGGTAGACCAAAACTCTACCCAATGAGGTAATTTCCTAATACCCTAACCCGCCCCAACCCGTTTTTTTCGGTCCGGGTATCGGTTCGGGTATCGGGTTAGGTTTTTTTGCCCAGGCCTAATATTGGTCAATCTAGTCAAATTTGATCTAGGTTGTATTTATATCGTCTACTTGTATCTTTATGTACCTTTATATTTTGCTCTGTTACATGGTTTAATTTAGGTTCTACTCTAACTTCTAATGTGAATTCACTGTGTATACTCGCGGATCTATATTGTTTTTGTTAATGGAGTCATTATTAATATATAAATAATAATACTAGATTAGGACACGCGTATTAATTTAGAAAAAAAATTTAAAAAAATTTTGGTAAGTTTTCTTGCAATGTTGTACAAATGTTATGTTGATTCACTTATAATAAGATATTTTTTAGTATTACAATTAAAACTATAAGAGTTGGTATGTGAAGGTTTCAAACCCAAAATTTAATATGTTGTTTGATTCAATTTTATAACTTAATAAAATATTTGAAATCCATTTTGGAGGATAATTTAATGACAAAAACATATTGTTAAGAATATCACATACAAATTGTTTTAACATAAATTCAGTGAAACTTAGTTACAATTTTGCTAAAATGGGTACTTAGATATAAAAATTAGAAAACACAACCTTAAAAAAAAAACCAACAATTGAAGTAAAAAGATATAAAACTTAAAAAACACAAACTTAACACTTCATCTTTTTACTAAAAAAGAGATAAATAATTATGATAAGAAAAATCAACGAAAAAAAAAAAAAAAGAAAAAACAATAAAACAAACAATCTTTTAAAATCCAAAACTTAACCCTTTCCTTTTTCTTTCATATCTCTCACTAAAAAATAGCATTTTCATCTCTCTCCCTATTTATCAAATTTGCACAAAAAATATGGGACACATGATTTTTTACTTATTCTTTTTTTTGTTTTATCATTAGTTTAAATAAAAAATTTATATTTACACTAGAGTTAAAATTCACACACTAGATGATAATTTGGACCAAAATATTTCATCTTTAACTAAGGTTGACAATTGAGCTAGAGCAACTATAGCCCAATTATGGTTTAGTTCATGTGACATTGATCAAAATAGATACATAATCTCTCTTCTTCTTCTTGTGACACTAGGCAGTAACATAAACAAATCCGTATAGCAAAATGGTGAGTTACAACCTTGGTTTTCACTTTATATATATAAAGCTCTTGAAATATTATAATCAACTCGAGATACATACACTACGAATCCAAAATTTGTTAAATTAACAACATATATGTATGACCTCTTATCAAAAATTTTGAAAGTAATAAAATGTAAATCAAAAGATCCTACTAACCAATACAGAAGAATTACTGATCCTTCATGAAGGAAATCATTATCTATTAGAGGCAATCGTATCAATCAAGGATAATCAAAGTCAATCACGTTGATTACTCCTATTCAATGTAAAGAATATTAACTTTCTCATTCTAGACTTGTAGAACTTGTATATAATCTCCTCTTGTAATCTCAATAAGCAATACCTATGTTGCATGGAAACTCCATTCGAAGTCCGTTTCACGTTTCGGAAACGTTTCGGAAACGTTTCGGAAATGTTTCGGAAACGGAAACACTTGGAAACGCGGGGAAACGCCTTGGAAACACGTTTTTAAAAAAATTGAATTTGGAAACGCGATGGAAACGTACGTTTCCAAAATAGAAACGCGCGATTCCATTTTGGAAACGTATTGGAAACTTGCTTTTAGAAAAAAAAAACATAAAAATCAAATGATTTCAAAATAAAAGGGTATATTTGATATTTTTATAACTTTAAAACCCTAATTAATATGAGGAATACGAGCTATATATTCACAATTTACTTACATAACCTAGAAATTTGAGTAGAAAAATAGAAGAAACGAGACTTGGCCTAGCAAGGTATTCTTCCTTTGAATTCAATGTCGATTTTTTTTATACAAGCAAGGTGGTTTTGGGAGTCGAAGATTTCTTCTCCAATTTATTTATAGAAATTGTTTTCCAAATAACATTGATTTTATATATTGATCTCGTCAAAAGTGACGGCTATTCATAGAAAATTTTGACGGCTATGAGTATTTTAATAATAGAACGTTTAGTAATGATGCTCACTTGTAAGGAAATATGTGATGATATTAATTACTGCATCTTTAACTTATAGATCAAATAGATTTGTGTTGGTGAATTTGAATTTTTTAATCGTATTAAAGCAATTTGGCTTTTTACAGAAATATGAGCCTCATTCCTTACACTTACAGTGTTAATTGTTTTTGTTTGCTTTTTACAGAAATATGAGCACGTCTAATAATACAACTCGAGAGCATGTGCATCACGTTGAAGATACAGATGATCTTTCTAGTTTGGATGATAAGGCACCTTTGTGGATTTATGTTAATAAGATGGAGAAGCTTGCAGGAGGAGGATCGTGGAGGTTCGAATGCAAGTTTTGCAAAATTAAATTTTCTGGTTCTTATAGCAGAGTTGCGACTCATTTGTTAAAAGATGGGACTAAGGGAATTAGAGAATGCTTGAAGGTTACTTCCCAACAAAGAGATAACATGAGAAAATTAGTTGAAGAGTGCAAGCAGAGGATAAAAAGTGCAGCTCCGGCCTCCGAGAGCAGTTCCATTGCCTTCGTCATCAAAAAAAGCATTCAGTTCTTCTCTTGATTATGATACGAATTACAGTGCCCCTAATGCAAGTGAGTCTGATCCAAAGAAGAGAAAAGGAACGAATACACCTTTGGGAAAAGCTTTTAACAATGAGGCTAGAGAGCAATGTGATGGTGAGATAGCTAGAATGTTCTATACATCTGGCCTATCTTTTAACGTCGCAAGAAATCCTCATTATCGCAATTCATACGTGCGAGCATCAAACATTCCAGGATATGTTCCCCCTGGATATAATGCATTGAGGACTGGACTTCTTCAAAAGGAAAGAAAGAACATTGAAATGCACTTGCAGCCTTTGAAGAACTCATGGATACAAAAAGGTGTTAGTATATGTAGTGATGGTTGGTCAGATCCACATCGAAGGCCGATATTTAATTTGATTGCTGCAAATGAGAGTGGTCCAATGATGTTAAGGGCAATCAATAGTCAAGGCGAAGTGAAAACTGGTGAGATGATTGCTAAGTTGATCATAGAATGCATAAAAGAGGTTGGACATGAAAATGTGGTTCAAGTAGTGACAGACAACGCTGCCAATTGTGTAAAGGCTGGTTCACTTATATCTGCTAAGTATCCCACTATCTTCCGGACACCATGCGTGGTGCATACATTGAACCTTGCTTTGAGGAACATATGTTCACCATTACTAACCACACGAAACAATGAAGATGTGTATGGTGCTTGTATCTGGATAAAATCTCTTAGTGAGGATGTAACTTGGATTAAGAATTTTATTATGAATCATGGGATGAGGCTTGTGAAGTTCACAGAGCATTGTGATCTTAAACTTCTTACAATTGCTTCTACAAGGTTTGTTTTCTCTTCTATTAAATCTTGTTTTTTCTAATATATAAATGTAATATTTTTATATCTTTATTTCAAGTTTTCAACAGATTTGCATCCACCGTTGTGATGTTTAAAAGATTCAAGAAGATAAAAACGGGATTGCAACAAATGGTGATTAGTCCTAAATGGGATGACTATAAAGAAGACGATGTAGGAAAAGCATCTGCAGTGAAACAAAAGATATTAGATGAAAGGTTTTGGGATGAGCTTGAATATGTTTTATCTTTCACGTTGCCTATATATGGTGTGATTAGAGCTGCTGATACTGATAAGCCGTCTCTTCATTTAGTCTATGAATGGTGGGAAAGTATGATTCAGAATGTGAAGAAAGCTATCTTTAGAAGAGAAAGAAAACAACTTATAATGAAGAATCTGTCTTTTGGAATGCTGTGAATTCTGTTTTGACATCTCGTTGGAGCAAAAGTAACACTCCTCTCCATTGTATGGCGCATTCCTTAAATCCCAGTAAGTTAATAACTACTTTTAAAGAATGCTATATTTTAAAATGGAGCTAGTGGTTATATAGGTATTCAATTAACATCGTTTTGTATATGTTTGTTGGATATAGATATTATAGTTCAGAGTGGCTTGGGGAAGATAAGAATAGAATAGCTCCACATCAAGATTTAGAGATTACCAGAGAAAGAAAAAGTTGCATCATGAAATATTTTATGGATCAAGATGAAAGAAGAATGGTTAATGTTGAATATTCCAATTTCTCTCTATGTTTGGAAGATTTTGGTGGTGTTGATGCAATGCATGATAGGTTCATCCTAGAGCCGTTAAAATGGTGGGCAGTTCATGGAGCTCCAGCACCAAAGCTTCAAGCCTTAGCATTTAAGTTGCTAGGACAACCTTCTTCATCCTCATGTTGTGAAAGAAATTGGAGTGCTTACAAGTTTATACATTCTGCAACAAGAAACAAGATTGCTCCGCAAAGAGCGGAAGATTTAGTATTTGTGCACACTAATCTTCGTCTTTTATCTAGGAGAAGTCATGCTTACAAAGATGGTCCCAATCATATGTGGGATGTTGGAGGTGATCAGTTTGATTCATTAGATGAGATTAATCTTGGGATACTTGAGTTTGAAGATCTTTCTCTCGACGAACCAGAGTTAGAGGCAGTTTTATTTGCTGGAGCTGAAGAAAATGAGAACGAGGATGATGGTCGTAATCTTTGATTTTGAGTATTATTATCTTTATTTTAGTTAAACTATTTAATATTTCTATTTAAGATTCATGTTATTTAAAACATTTTTAATACTATTTTGAGGTTTGGTATTTCATATATATGTATATATATATATATATATATTAAATATAATATATATATATATATATACGTTTACAAAACGTTTTCAACCCCTAATTTTAGAAAAAAATCGTTTCTCGTTTCCGAAACGTTTCGCTTCCGCGTTTCCGTTTCCGTTTCCATGCAACATAGAGCAATACACAATACATTCTAAATCTACATGGTATCAGAGCTTCTGATCTAAACCTAAATTTTTTTTCTATTCTTCTTTTCTCCAAAACACAGCCGCCGTCCCTATGTGGACCTCTGCAAACGGTCCCCAAGCCCAAACTGATGACGAGATCATCACCACCACCCAAACACTGTTCAATATCAACACCTCTAATGTCACAAAGCTCAACTCCACAAACTATCTAATGTGGAATCTCCAATTCCATGCTTTACTCGATGGCTATGAGCTTGAAGGCTATCTTGATGGCTCCACCACTGCTCCACCTCCAACAACAACAGTCAACAACATTGTCACTGTCAATCCCGCGTTCAAACTCTAGAAGAGACAGGACAAACTCATGTATAGTGCTCTGCTGGGAGCCATCTCTCCCTCCGTCCAACCACTGGTGTCACGTGCCACCACTGCCTCTCAGGTTTGGGTCACTCTCGCCTCCACCTTTGCCAAACCAAGCCGAGGTCATGTCCGCCAGCTGCGTGCTCAACTCAAACAATGGACTAAAGGGACGAAGTCCATTGATGAGTATGTTCAGGGTCTTACCACACGTATTGATCAACTGACAATTCTGGGGAAGCCACTTGAACATGAAGATCAAATCGAGGCAATCCTTGAAGGCCTTCCTGAGGAATATAAGCCTGTCATTGATCAGATCGAAGGTAAAGATACGCCACCAACCATTGCTGATGTCCATGAACGTCTACGCAATCATGAAGCAAAGACTCTCTCTGCTGTTGTTGCTACCTCATTCGTGATCCCTGCTACTGCTCACGCCGTTCAGCATCGTCAGAATCACCACACCAATCGGAACAACAACAACTACAGAAGACTCAACAACAACAACACCACTCAGACTTGGCAGCCACAACAATCACAAAACAGAGCAGATGGTAGAAACCCTAAACCATACATGGGCAAGTGCCAAATCTGCAATGTTCAAGGGCATAGTGCAAGGAGATGTCCACAGCTTCAAGGTCTTCAATCTGCAAATCCAGCTCAGGTCTTCAATCTGCAAATCCAGCTCAGGTCTCTCCTTTTGCACCGTGGCAGCCCCGCGCCAACTTAGCCGTTGGATCTCCTTACACAGCCAACAATTGGCTTCTCGACAGCGGCGCAACAACATTTCTCTCCATCAGCCGTACAATGGAGGAGACGATGTTATGATCGTTGATGGCTCCAACCTAGCCATTACACACACCGGTTCAACTCTTTTTCCTTCACAGACCCGTGATTTGGTTTTAAATATGATTTTATGTGTTCCTCATATTAACAAAAATCTTATCTCCGTCTATCGTCTGTGTAATGATAATAAAATTTCTGTCGAATTTTTCCCTGCTTCATTCCAAGTGAAGGATCTGAGCACGGGGTCCCGTTACTCCAAGGCCAAACTAGGAATCAACTCTATGAATGGCCGGTTTCCAAGTCTCAACCGGTGTCTCTGTTTGCATCACCAAGTCCGAAAACTACCCTATCATCGTGGCATTCACGACTAGGGCACCCATCTTTTTCTATTTTGAATTCAGTTGTCTCTAAGTTTTCACTTCCTGTTCTTTGTTCTTCTCAAAAATTATCTTGCTCAGATTGCTTAATAAACAAGAGTCATAAACTCCCTTTCTCTCAATCTTCCATTACCTCACATAGACCTCTTGAATACTTATTTACAGATGTCTGGTCCTCACCTATTTTATCCATTGATAACTTCAAATATTATCTGATTTTCGTCGACCACTATACCCGATACACCTGGCTCTACCCTCTAAAACGAAAATCCGATGTCAAAACCATCTTCTCTGCATTCAAGTCACTGGTTGAGAACAAATTTCAAACCAAAATCGGCACTCTATATTCTGATAATGGCGGGGAGTTCATCGCCTTACGAGAATTTCTGTCGACGAGTGGTATTTCTCATCTAACGTCACCGCCACACACGCCAGAGCATAACGGCATCGCCGAGAGGAAACACAGACACATTGTCGAGACGGGCCTTACCCTTTTATCCACAGCCTCAATCCCAAAGGAGTATTGGCCATATGCGCTTTCAACGGCAGTCTATCTCATCAATAGACTTCCCACACCGCTACTCTCTCTCGCATCGCCCTTTGAGAAGCTATTTGGTACATCACCAAACTATACAAAACTCTGTGTCTTTGGTTCCTTATGTTTCCCGTGGCTACGTCCATACACGGATCATAAGCTTGACGATATATCATTGCCATGTGTATTTGTTGGCTACTCGCTTACCCAAAGCGCATATCACAGTCTACATTTAGCCTCTGGTCGAATTTACACTTCTCGACATGTTCAGTTCCTAGAACATGTTTTTCTATTTTCAACAGACAAGAAAGTGAAAAATCGGGAAGAAGAAGATGACACACCACCATCATCGACGACCTCGCCGCTGGTAACTCCGTTGATTCCTCCTCCACTTGACCCGTGCTCGGATCCTCACCACCACGGCTCACGACCGTCGTCCTCTCCCGACGTCACACCTCGGGTATTGTCTCCTTCTCTCTCTCCCAATTTGTTGGATCCAAATAATGAGCCCACTGCTCAAAATCAGAATGGGCCGCAACCCACGGCCCAGCAAACCAATTCTTCCCAAGAGCCCACTGCTCAAACTCAAAATGGGCATCAAGCCACGGCCCAGACAAATAACCCACCTGATCAAAACAACTCTCAAAACCAGACTTCGTCTTCTCGATCACAAACTCACGTCCCTGCCACAGCCACAAATCAACCCATTCAACCACCACAAAACATCCACAAAATGCAAACTAGAGCCAAAAACAACATCACAAAACCGAAATCGAAAACTTCTCTCACTGTTGCGTTATCACCTAATCCAATTCGGGAACCTACCTCTGTTTCTCAAGCTTTGCAGGATGAAAAATGGAGACAAGCGATGTCTGCCGAATTTGACGCCAAAACCGTAAACCATACATGGGATCTTGTTCCGGCGACTAAAAATCAGAATGTTGTGGGTTGCAAATAGGTTTTTACACTCAAATATCTACCCAATGGAGCTCTTGAACGTTACAAAGCCAGGCTCGTCGCGAAGGGGTTTCATCAACAGTACGATATCGACTATTCAGAAACCTTTAGTCCCGTGATTAAGTCTACGACTATTCGTACAGTCCTAGAAGTTGCTGTCACAATGAATTGGTCTATTAAACAGTTATATGTGAATAATGCTTTTCTCCAAGGTGATCTAAATCTAAATCTAAATTATCCTTTAGTGTACGTAAAATTTTGCGATTCACCGATCGAATGTTTCTTGGATTGATAATGTAGATTTAGAATGTATTGTGAGAAAAGCCCTTTTAAGGAAACAAAAGATAAATCTATATATAATAGCAATCTAATAAATACCATTTGCACATCTGAACGGTTGCGTCTTTTTATCGCAACTTTTCGTTAATGTTTTTATTAATTAAAATATATATTTTACGGTTATGTTTTTTTTTATAAATTGCATTCTGAATGTTTTCTACGGTTGCGTTTTTTTATTGTAACTCTTCATAAACAGTTGAAACCGCTTATTCAAATCATTGCAATATTTAGTTTATTTTACGAACAATTGCAACCTTTGGTTTATATATTTAGTTTATTTCACGAACAATTGCAATTTTTGGTTTGTTTTATAAATAGCTATAACATTTAATTATCTACCGCCGCATCTCTCGGTGTAACTTTTCATAAATTATTATTTTAATTCTTAATTTTTAATTACTAAAATGTATTTAAATGAGATTGTAAGTATTTAATTGAACTATTTCAACATTTAGATTATTTAACGAATTATTGCAACTTTTGGTTTTGTGTTACGAACCATTGTTATCTTTAGTATATTTGATGAACTATTACAACATTTGGTATAATTGACGAACCATTGCAGTTTTTGGAATATTTGATATCTACGGTTGCGTTTCTCGGATAAGTTCGTCATATTTTTAAAAAATATTTAAATACTAAAATATATTTAAATGAATTGTTGTTACCATTTAATTTAACACAATAGCATTTGGTTTATTTGACGTTGTACGTTTTGGCTTATTTATCAAACCATTTGGTTTATTAGTTTATGCTTTTTGCACTTGGGAATAGTTTTTTAGTTACAAATTATTGTTTTTCTATTATTAATATACTTAATAAATGCTTGTGAGAGTTTCTTTATCATAATTTTTGTAAAATATATATTGATTTGTTATTAAAAAAATTCAAAATTATTACAATTCATTATGATTTTTTCGTTTGATATTTTTTTAAATGATTTTTGAAATATATTCCTCCGCGACATCGCGGGGGTCCTGAGTCCTAGTTAAAATAAAAATCAACTTAAAAAAAGAAGACAAAACAATAAAACAATGAATCTCTATAAAAAATGTCGAAAAATGTGCCAACTTTCAAATTTGAGACGATTAGAGCATGAACTCTCGAAATGTCTCTTTAATCACAAAGTTTCTGTTGACCTGTCTGAAAATAGCTAAGTTTTGGTTGATCTAGCCAAATTAGTCATCGCGTTAAGTCCCGTTAGAACGACGCTGACGCTGTTAACAATCCGTTAGAAGTCTCCGTTGGATCAAAACGACGTCGTTTTGAAGTTTTCAAACGACGTCGTTTCACCAGAAAATAAGAAGGAAAAATAGGCATCTTCAACGACTCGAACGACCTATTACACTAATATGAGACACTCAACCATTGAGCTACGAGAACATTTTAATATTTTAACAAACAAAACGTGTATATATACTAAAAAAACTGGCAACATAAATTAGGTAAAACTATATGCAATTAATTTAAAATAATAAAATTAAAAACAAATTAATATCCAAACACATACAAATATTAAATATACTTACCTTAAATATATATTTCAAATTTTAAAATATTTAATTATATATATAAAGATTTTATTCTATTTTGGAAAATTATACTTACCTTAAATATTTAATTATATATATAAATTATATATATTTGAAATTTTGATAAATATATTTATGATAAGTATATTTAATATTTGTATTTTTGGTTATTATTATTTTTTAGTTTTGTTATTTTTAATTAATTGCGTATATTTTTAATTAATTGTATAATGTTATTTTTAGTATATATATATATATATATATATATATATATATATATATACATATATATGTTCTGTTTGTTAAAACATTATAATATTCTCTTAGCTCAATGGTTGAGTGTCTCTTATTAGTGTAAGAGGTCAGCAGTTCGAGTAGTTGAAGATGCCTATTTTTTCTTTTTATTTTCTGGTGAAACGACGTCGTTTGAAAACTTCAAAACGACGTCGTTTTGATCCAACAGAGACTTCTAACTGATTGTTAACAGCGTCAGCGTCGTTCTAACGGGGACTTAACGTGATGTCTAATTTGGCCAGGTCAACAAAAACTTAGCTATTTTTGGACAGGTCAACAGAAACTTTGTGATTAAAGAGACATTTCGAGAGTTCATGCTTTAATCGTCCCAAATTTGAAAGTTGGCGCTTTCGACAATTTTCCCAATTTAAGACCTGTCTCTATCTTTTTTTATTCTACTTCAAGAGGTTCAATGTTTCTCTCTCTCTCTCTTCTGTTTCTTTTTTTTCAAATCTCTCACTCCCAAATTCAATTCTATTTTTCTTCATCTCTTATGTTTCTCTGCTGACCAAAAAATCAATTTTTTATTAGAGTTTCTTTTTTGTTGAAATGTGTAATTCATTAATCTAGTAAAAAGGAAATATGTACATATGAGTCCAAAAAATTAAAGTATCCGAAACAAAACAAAATCAAAACAAATGGCAGATGCCCGATTGTAAGAGATTATGGCCTGACCATAATCCACCTCTGCATTAGGAGCCGAAGATGTGGCTTTGTTGAGTAATCGAGGGATGTGATCCTGTTACGGATGAGTTTCTCAATGCTTCTGGTAAGTTGAGAAGCTGTCAGACCGCAGTTGTTATGAATCCGAGCGTTGCGCTCTCGCCAAATGGAGTATAAGGTCTCTTGGTAGGAGAGACGAACTAGGATATCTCTCAGTTTGTCCCTTGTTTGGCTTTGAATCGATGCTACAGTTTCTTCCCAATCCGGGTTTAGCAGGTGGCGAAGTAGCTTACCCGCTATCGAAGACCATATTGTGTAAGAGTAAGGACACGCGAAAAACAAGTGGTCTCTCGTTTTGTCGCCCTCTCCGCAGAAAACACAGACTTGGTGACCCCCCCCCCCCCCCATAGCCGCCTTCTAGCGCCCGTTGATAGACGGTTTAGAACTGCGAGCCAGGAGATGAAGCTGCATCTTGGGATCATCTTTGAGAAGAATTCAATTGTTCTTCAACGAAGGAAGCTTCTAGTTGGTGAGTTACATATATATAAACCTCCAGCCTAGAAACAAACAAAAGAAAAAACTAAACTCTCAGAATTCTTTACTTTCTTTCATGTTTTTTTTATTAGAGTTTCAGGATTATCTTTGAGAAGAATTCAATTGTTCTTCAACGAAGGAAGCTTCTAGTTGGTGAGTTTCATATATATAAACCTCCAGCCCAGAAACAAACAAAAGAAAAAACTAAACTCTCAGAATTCTTTACTTTCTTTCATGTTTTTTTTATTAGAGTTTCAGGATTATCTTTGAGAAGAATTCAATTGTTCTTCAACGAAGGAAGCTTCTAGTTGGTGAGTTTCATATATATAAACCTCCAGCCCAGAAACAAACAAAAGAAAAAACTAAACTCTCATAATTCTTTACTTTCTTTCATGTTTTTTTTTTTCATTCTTCTTTTTCACTCACCATGTCTTCTTTTTCGTCTTTTTCTTAAACTACTGCAAAAACTGTAGAGAGAACCCGTATAATAGATTATGTCCAGCCTAATTTTGTTGGTTTGTATAATATATAAGTTAAAGAGATTGTATCTCATACTCCTTTCATATATACGGTTTAGTGTATCGTTCTTAAGATAACTCGAGCTACCACGAAAGTTATGTATTAAAGAAGAACTGGTAAAAATAAAATATTGTCATAACAACATGAAATCCTTGTGATTGTGCATACCGTCAAGGATTCAATGCCTCCTCCACCTTAAAAAGAGATGTCCACAAATCCTCTATTGATATACGGCAAAATTGCTCTTACCATTTTTGAGGTGATACGATTGAAGGAAATATTTTCTATTATATCAAATTTTTGATATAAGTTTTTGTGGAAGAAAAAAAATATATATTGTATTTAACAAAAAAAATAATGGCTCATTATTCTCAACACAAATGTTTTTATTTATTTTGTCAAAACATAAGAATAATATGTGCAATTGTTTTTCTTTTGTAAATTTGAATTAAAAAAATATTTTGGTTCAATATTTCCCTAACGTAGAGAAAATAAAATAAAAATTTGTTTGATAAATTTTTTTCTATAAACAAGTTTTACACCATTTTTATTTGGAGTATTTAACATGTGTATTAAAAAAATTGGAAAAAAATAAAGTAGAGACGGAGCGAGATGAGTTTCTAATTAGAGAGACTTATGATAGAATCTCAAACCATTTGTTTCTAAATAATTATGAGATTTTCAACATTACACCCGAATTACTCACTTCGATATATAATTACCAAATTCTAAATAATTGTGAGATGCTCAACATTATACCCGAATTACTCCTAAAATAAGCCTATAAATCTTTTAACCTAAAATGATGACATATGCGAATGTTTCAGATTTTATATGGTGGGCATAACCCTAATCATTAACTCATATTAGTTGATGATCAATGAAGACGGCATAAACATCGTCGGCGATGTTTTTGTCAGCGATGTTTTCATTAGCTAATACCAATGTCTCACACCACAACAAAAACGACAGTTAAGCCCCGATCACCACTTCCCTTCTGAAGCAGGTGGAAGAATTAGATATAGTTCTATTTTTTCCTATTTTTCCCTAATTTACTTTAGACTTTCTGCTTATTATCTCTAATTAATCACTATAGTTTAGTAGTGTATATATTTATATTGTAATGGACTTTGACTTTTTAGATTATAATTTATTTTGACTGTATATATATGTAGTGAAAAGACCAAAGCATCATCTAAGATCTTAAAAAGAAATTGACTACCAAAAATAACTAGAAGAGTATTTATGTTTAAGTTTATCACTAGAGTTGTTTTAAGGGAAAAACACATTTTTAACCCTCAAAGTGTTACTGGGTAGCACTTTAAACCTCAAAAGAATTTCACTAGCACTATAAACCTCCAAGATAATTTTAGGAACAACGGTCTATTTCTCCCCGAGAACTATCGTATCTGGCCAGATAAAGCCCGATCTTTGACCTCTGTCTATATACCCATGAAACGGAAGTTAATTGTTTATTTCCCCACCAATTGAAAGTTCGAGAGCTTAATGTCCATGAATCCTGGTTTCGTCGGTTTAGTGCGTAAACCCGAGACGGAACCATGTTTCGGTCGTAACTTAACCAAAAAAAAACCGATTCCTTATTAAAACCCGACCCATTGTCGTTGTCATCCCAAAAATCAAAATTCCAAAATCCCCAAATTCAAATTAAGAACCCTAAAAAAGCAAAATCCCAAAATCCCCAAATTTCAATCCCAAATTCGAATTGAAAACCCGATTTCCAGTTTAGGATGAGCAACCTATCATTCATGCGCTGTCTTCTTTTTCTCTTCATGTCCTGTCATTTTTAAGAGCAAGAACATATTTTTCACTATTTATATATGGCGTATACATAAGAAATACTTGGAAACAAAAAGAAATCATGATAATTGATACGTGTATGTATGATCCAATAGTTTCCATACAACCAAAATATCCCAAAAGGAGCTGTTAAGTGGATTCACCGGTCACAATAGTTGTGGTAATAAGCAAAAAATAGAACTTGAGTTTTCTATCTCAAGATTTTAATCACAATCTTGAATAGTTTCATAATAAAACGTTTAAAGTAGCGTTCCCCAAACGCCAAAAACGTGATTTTTGATTGGAATCATCACTTGACGGTCAAGATCTTGATCACGGAAGCATTACCAACTCGGAGTAGAGCAACAACGGAGTCTCCAGTCTTGCACAGCTCTTTCTCTTTCCCGTACTGAGTGGCAAACTCAATAGCCTCCTCTGTTGATTCATCGTGTGAGGCTCTTGCAGATCCAGCGTAGAGCACCGGGATTAGACCACGGAAGATAAGGCTGTGTCTCGCGGGGGACTCGTCATTCACACCCTTTTTCCTTTTCTTCTCAGCCTTTGTCATCTTCTTGTCTTCTTCTCCTTCTGGTGGCTCAGGTACATACACTCTCGGACCATTACCAACAAGATCAGGGTCGTGAAGGACTAACGACATCGATCAAATTCGGGGAAAAGTGATTTGGGGATTCTAGGGTTCGTCGAGAGCAATTTGGGGATTTTTGATTTTTGGTTTCAATTTTTGGTTTCGATTTGTGTTTAGGGTAATGGGTCATAAACGGGTTGTAACTTGGGTTTAGGCTGGTTCTAATTAGGTTTAATTGGTTAAAGCATCGGTTTGGTATACAGTAAACCAATTAAACCCAACGCTATGGGGTTTTAAATCTCGAACTTAGGATTCATGGACATTAAGCTCTCGAACTTTCAATTGGTGGGGAAATAAACAATTAACTTCGTTTCATGGGTATATAGACAGAGGTCAAAGATCGGGCTTTATCTGGCCAGATACGATAGTTCTCGGGGGGAAATAGACCGTTTTTCCATAATTTTACTAACACTTTAAACCTCCAAACTAGCATTTCTGTTTGTCCCAACCATAAAAATGATGAAAAATTTAATTTCTATTTGTTTAGTATAGATTTATTTAATTTAATTTAAATTTAAATTAAATTTTATTATTTATTACAATTAATAAAAATCTAAAAAAAACATAAAAAAAAAAAATTCACCTTCTTTGTTTACTCAACGTTCAATCATGAAATTTTGAAATTAAACCTCTGAAACTTTAGATTTAAGCACACGAGGAATTTATAGTATAATAATATAAACCAAATAATGTAGAATATGAGGTACAGGAGAAGCTTGAAAACAATAATAAAAACTAAAGAATGTCAAAATTTTGTGAGAAAACAAAGTATTCTCCATATCGGAAGAATCTAATTTTTTTTTACGTTTCTTAATAATCGAAAAATCATAATAAATAATTAAATTAAATTAAATAAATTTATATTAAACCAACATAAATTAATTGTTTCATCATATTTTATGGCGGTGCAAACATGAAAACTAGTTTGGAGGTTTAAATTGTTAGTAAAATTATTTTGGTGGTTTATAGTGTTAGTGGAAATCTCTCGAGGTTTAAAGTGCTACCCAGTGACACTTTGAGGGTTAAAAATGTGAAGTACACCTACCATAAAAAAAAATTGGTAGCTTATACTATTTGCTAAAGTACATTTTTATCTTATGTCCTGATGGATAGTAAGTATTGATATCCAAAATTACCTATTAACATTTCATTAAAAATTACTTGAGACAAACAAAATGTATCTTGCTTTGGGTATTATTTCTTCTCTCTTTTCATTAGTTTTTGAGAAATTTACGGAATAAGACATTTATTCTGAAGAGTATTGTTCAATTGAGACTTTCTGTCCGTGATTACAGATTTAGGCATTTATTTGGGTATGAAATGACACATTTACCCTTCTCACATAACCCAATCTATTTTCTCTCTTATCGCAGTCTCTGTTCTCTCTCTCGTCTCAGCCTAAATTCCCTCTCACTACTCAAATCTCTCTAAACGATGCTCCGATCTTCTCCTTCCGACTACACAACCATGATCTCCCCAAACAAATTAGCTATAATAAGATTTCCTAGAAAGAGAAACTTCTAGAGAAGTAAGTTTAAATTTCTAAGGTTTTTAAGTTTTCTTAAAAATTTCAATTTCCTCTTTTCAATTGGGATTTGTAAATTGGCAGGGAAGGAGAGACGAGATTCACAAACTTTAAATATCTAGAACTTGATCGATAGCTTCATCATGCAAAGAGATTCGTCTCCTGGGATTCGCCAGATGTCAGGAGGTATGTGAGCTCTTTTTCTAAGTCGTTCTTTTTTTTTTATTCTTACCACAGAAACGAATTAGATAGGTTCTAGATTCTGATAGTAACTAGTTATAGGGGTGTTATATTAGAGAAGATTGAGGAAGAGAAGTAATTAGGTTTCGTAGATACTGTAATTAATTGCATGAAATTGACCAGTAATAGTCCAGAACAGATTCTGAATTAAGGAAGAGAAGTAATCTTGTAACCTCAAGAACCATTTATAAGAAATTGAAATCTTCGGGTTTAAGCCTGAAATTGTGATCCCTCACTCTCTTTATTAGCAAATTCTCTGGTTGATTTATATCTTCTTGTGTGTACTTGGTCCTTTTTTTACTTGTTCTCTCGAAAAAATAAATCCTCGCTCTAGCTACATCAGGTTTTCCTCGTTATGATATTGTTCTTGCCTAAATAAAGATGTTGATAGAAATCAGCCTCATGTTCTTAGTCATGTCCTTTACTATATGTATTCGTTTATGATTTGCTAGTCATGTCCTTTTTTATATGTACGTTTCATTTGGTGTTTGGGTTCCCTCAGTTGTAGTTCCTTAGGGTTTAGTTCCTTAGGGTTTAGTGTTCCTCATTTAGTCTCACCAGGTATATACATTTGTACTCTAGCCCATGACTTTCTTCCTTGATATATGTGAGCTTATATGAATTTTTTGTTTCAGGGTTTGCTCGATAGTAAGTATAATAATCTTCTTGAGCAATCGTTTTACATGGTTGGTGGCATCGATGAGCTGGTTGCAAATGTAGAGAAGTTCCGGAAGAAGTCAGCATCTTCATGCTATCTAACATGTATTTCCCATGTCAATGCTTCTTCTTCTAATGTTCTTAATACATGAAACAATATGTAAAGTTCTTCTTCTACTCTTGTTTAAAAATGAAACAATATGTAAAGCAAAACTGAGTATACTAATTTTTAGAAATGGACTTATTGTTGCGTAGAACAGAGAGGAGGGTAATGCCGTCATTTACTCCATCCGAAAAATGTCTAATTCTGAGGGAACAGGAAAAAATGCCCAAATCGAAAGTTTTGGGAGGTCAAATGCCTATTTGGACAATAACCCCTTAGTTTTTCTAGGTGGAATTAGTAGAAAAATAAGTAAACAAATTACACAGAAATTAATACTGAAATTAAAGAAGTATGTAGGTTTTAGATACCCAGCATATGAATTGTTTTTCATAATATAAGAGATGTAAATACTGTTGTAATAAAATATTATTTCTATGTGTATTGCTTGCATGTAATCAATCAAAATATAGTTTTTAAAAACATATGGTATACAATTTTGGCATAGAAAAAGACGACAATAAAAAACAATCAAAATTCTACAATTCTAATTTATATTTTTCTATATATGTTTATATTATTGATATTTATTAATTGTACTAGGTTATTAACCCCCGCTACGCGGGGGTTTGTTGTTAACGATTGTTTAAATATGTTTTTTGGGTTAATAATAATTTAAGTAGCTATGGATTGACATTAGTAATGCAAACATACTATAATGGTGTATTTTGTGTATTATTTTTAACACAAATTTTCTTTTTTAAATATTTTTAGTATCATTTATGTTATTTAAAATTTTATTTTAATGAGAAAGAATAAAGTTTATAGGACAAAATTAGGTGTAAAACATATTACAAATTTGAAGTGTAATTTTTTCTTATTTGTTTTATATTATTAATGATCTTTCTATTAGTAAAGCAATTATATAAAATATAAGAAATTAAACTACCAAAATATGTAAACATTTGGGCATACATGTATTTCTCTTATGTATTAGTAAAATGTATTTGCCATAAATCAAGCAGTTATAGAGTGATATATTCTTGACTAAATATTCGGGTTGACACCTCTCTATTTTTACTCTTAAACGCAAGAACTGATTTGATTTTAGTGATAATTCGAGAGATTTTTTGGGTTTGGGAAAACCGCGACGTCCCAAAAACCCATGTGTCAGCCACTACAAAAAAGCAAATCGTGACAGGTGAAATCTAATCAAAGAAATAAAATTTCAAAAAAGACATATATCTTACCGAAGAATTTTGAGTTGGCCGAAAACATGGTTGCCATGTAAAACTAAAAAAAAATTAGAGACGTATAGAGAGAAATGTGGCTGCTGATGAGAAGCACGATTCTTTATCCGTTGATTTCAGACTCGTATCGCCACATATTGCCGAAATCTCAAGCATCTCGCAATCTCCTATTCCAAATCTTCACCTGCAAATTCTCCGATCAAATCTTTGCCTATGTTCACCTCTCTTGCAATCTCATGTTTCATTATCAGTTTTAGATGGGTATTTATACTAAAACGCTACTTTAGAATTTAAAAACTTTATATTTTCCTTTTTGCTACTAATTAAGTGGAATTTTTTCTTTTCATCGTATTGTTTCTCATCTTTTAGTAGTATTTTTTTTTTTAGGATAAACTAAAACGTAAAAATTCTTATACTAACATTAACATATTTTTCTGGTTTTTTTAAATTTGCAAATTTTCCTTTAAAATATCTTTGAACGATTTAACATATATGATTTTTTTCTTACATTTAATTGTATTTAGAATTTAACATATAATCACATAACCATATTGACATATAATCACATGCATGAGATAATTTCGCATTTAAAATTTAGCAAATTGTCATATTATTAGCCATATTTACCACGTTTTTAGAATTGTAATATTTTAGTTATTGGTAATTATGTATAGTTGGGAATGAAATCACTACCTTATAAGTTACAATCAACCATTTTTAAATATAATATTAAGTTAGTATTTGTGTCTTATAATTTTCTTATTTTCTAAACTTTCTCACGTTAACTAATTTATTCGAAAGCTAACGTAATGAGACTAATAATTATATTTTCTTTTTATATTATATTACAATAATTAAATTTTACATTTTTAATTTACATATGTCGTGTTTCAAAAGTTTACATTTTTTCTTTTTGACAATTCCATTTTTATTATTTAAGTCTATACAATAATCGTCTACGATAGTTATGATTATTGAATGAGAGTCCAACACTATAAATTGAATCGAGAGCATATAGAACCATAGAAAATGATTTACATAAATAAAAACTATGATTTTGCACAAATCTTTTATACAAAATTTAGTAACTTTTTGGATCCCCTCACCTTTCATCTTTAACGTGGCAACTCGAAACGACACAATGGATAGACATGACTTCTCACAAACCACTATATAATACACTCCTCGTCAAACTCGTGTTCCCAAGGTAAAGTCACGATACTTGTTCGGTTCTTCCATCGTCAATCTCTTCCAAACAAA